CCGCTGCAACCTGGCTTCTGCTGGAAGTGCTCTCACAAAGGTCAGCAACGACAATAAACCATCATTACAACAACACCCAGTGCTGCTTGTGGATTTACTGGGCGCCAAACTCAGCGCTTTATTTACCTTGGAGGGAGAAACCAGGAGAACCAGAGGGCTGAACAGGACTTGCAGATGGTTTTGGCTTAGTCGGCTCAGTTTTTAAAAATTAAGTCGACACTGAAAAGTCAGAATATTTCAGACAGAAATCCGAGTTTTTGAGACGTGCTGTCCAGTTTGCTACAGTCCCCACGGTGAATGCTTGTGCACTTGGACCTCCTCACCTCTCTCATTTATGTTCCCTGCCTGATCCCTGCAGGATCATGACTTACTATCTGGGAAGGATTGGACAGCTGCCAGGAAGAGAGACCCGCTCAAACTAGCTCAAGACAAAAGACGGGGGCTATGAAATAGCAATCCAAGGGCAGGCACTGTGGCAGACCTGGACTCCCGGAAACCGAGACTGGAAGGAAGACGCTGGCAGCCCCCTTGTTAGTGTCTCTGCTTTTCACTCCATTGTGGCTCCATTCTCATCTTGTCACAGATTGCCTTCCTCTTCTTATTCTTCATTTCTGTTCCCTCATTGCCTCAACTTGCTCAAAGCTTCTCATCCCCACCCCACTCCCCTCACAGCATCTTCCTTTATACTCCTACTGCTAACTGCCTTCATCTTTCAATTTTCCAACTGTAAATTCCTGAAAGAGGACCAACATGTATTTTCAAGCCTGGTCATATACGTCATAAATTACTTTCAAGCTGCAATAGTTCACACTGGGGGAAGTACACAGATGTGGTCCAAACATCTGTAACCAGGTAGAGTGGGAGTATCCTTCAGAAGGGCTGTGGGTTGACAGATACTATAAGGCATAACTGAGACAATATCCTAAGCGTAATTAATCCTCATAACAATCTTGAGTGACAACCATTATTTATACTCATTTTCTAGACATGAAAACCGAGGCTTAGAGAGGTGACAAAATTTGCCCAAGGTCCTAAGTGCCCTAACTCAAGCTGCCTAACAAACAAACTCGAAGCCTCCATTTTCACTAGTATCTTTCTTGGCTTCCATGCTGAGTAACGTGCTTGCTAGTCTCTTCTTCCTGTAATTTGAAACTCTCCTCTCGGGTTCTGCCTACTGTACTCTTCTGGTTTTGTACTTTTCTGATTGCTTTTCCACTCTTAAATTCCTTGTTCTCCTTCCAATTCTTAAATGTAGGAGTTCTCCAAGGGACTCTTCGTGGCTGCTTCTTGTCTGTTTCTATACTTTCTTCTTAGACAAATTCATAGGCTTTTACAGATTTGGATATAGTCAGACACCACAGTTTCTTAACCTGGGGTTCTTGGGCACACACACCCCACACCCCCCAAGGGAACCGTGGATAGAATTTAGGAACTTCATGAATAAGAAAAAAATAACATCTTTATATCTTCACTAAACTCTACCCAAAATGTGCCAATTCCTTCAATTATGACTGTAGGCAACAAACCACCGTATTAGCAGCAAACATTTGTGACCTTGTTACCAATAGAAATCACGGGTAGTTTAATATTTCCTAACTGTTGCAAATGTCTCAAAATTTTATTTTTTCCCATTATATTTCAAAATCATGGTGGCTATTTAACCCACTACTAAATCTTGATATTTAATGCATTAATAAAGAAGTGTACATAATACCATATCAAAATTTTAATATTTTGATAACTGTTTTGTAATATTGTAATATAAGTAGTTTCCTCTGTAATCTTGTCTCTTCTATTTTCTGTATTTAGAAACATTTTGTTTTTGAGAAAGGGTCCATAGAGTTTATTAGATTGCTAAAGGTTAAGAACCCCTGCTTTAAAACACTGTAGCCTGTTAACTAATCTTATTATGATGATCATTTCACAATATATCCATATATCCAATCATCATGTTGTACACTTTAAATTTACACAATGTTATATATCCATTATATCTCAATAAAGCTGAGGGAAAAACTGACACTCTAGCCAGATGGAGTAATGCTTTAGTCCAGGGGTCCCAAAACTATGACCTGTGTGTCAAATCCAGCTGGTTGTCTGTTTTGTAAATAAAGTTTTATTAGAACACTTTCTTTTTCATAGGAATGACTTGGAAAGGGGATCAAGTCTTAGGCAAAGCAGGAGCAACTTCCCTAAAGCCTAATGACCTACTCAGCTTTCTGAGTTCTGTCTTTAAGTTTCAGCTGCCTGCTTTATCTGCAGACTTTACTTGTCAGATGGGCATCTAATCCTCTCTGTGGGCTGATACCCTGGTGATGATCTTGGACAGCTAGCTTATATCCCAGATTGCTTCCTATTCTCAGTCACTCTTCCCCTTTGTCTACTGACGCGGGTCTCAACTCTGTACCGGCCATGTGGGTTCCCGGACTGCTAACACTTTGTCCTACATATAAGCTCTAGAGATAAACTTTTTCAGGGTGGAAAAAACAGAGCTAACCATTACCATCTATGATCATAGTTCTGATCATATCCTTCTCTTCCTCAGAATCCTCACAAATTAAGTACAAACTTCTCAGGGTGCTTTTGGTTGCATAAAACAGAAATCTACTTATGTTTCTGTTGTAAGTGAGTGAGGAATGAGGAATTTATGATATAGATACAGGGATGTTACACAGGCCTCAAGAGCAGGGTTATAGCAACAGGTTGAATCATAAACAGGGATTGGCAAACTTTTTCTGTAAAGGACCTGATAATAAATGTATTAGGCTTTGAGGGCCATATGGTTTCTGTCACTCTGCCATAGACAATATGAAAAGGAATGTGTTCCAATAAAACTTTATTTATAAAACAGACAACTAGCTGGATTCCACACACAGGTCATAGTTTTAGCATCTGTGGACTAAAGCATTATCAGAACTTTCTGAAACTCATCTGTCACCCTCCACGTCTGCTTTGTTGCTCTCTTGCTCCTGACTAGCTTCTTCAGCTTCTCTGGTTCTCATGTTGGAACATGGCTTCTGAAAGCTCTGAGCTTTCATGTCACAAGTTAAAGTTCAAGCTCGCTCTCTCTTTCCCAGTCCTATTTACAGATCCTTAGGGCAGGGATGTTGCCTGGCCTTACCTGGGTCAGGGCTCACCATTACGCCAATCCAACGTGGCCAGGGGTCTGGGTCTTGCTGTATGAACAGGGCTTCGGGATACCACTCCTACAACCTCTTGGGTCAGAGCAAGGAACAGATTCCAGAAAAGGGCAAGGAGCTGGGCAAACAACCCAGTGTGAGTCCCATGTGGCATTCATTCAAACGCACAAATCCCTATTGGTCCCCTCATATCCCTTTCTGAAGCAAAACCAACTCCTTGCAGTTCTCACACACTCTATATATTCTAACCTGGCATCCCCCCTATCTGCCAGCAGAAATTCTACTCATCTTTAAAGTCTCTTCTAAAAGGGCACCCTTTCTGTCTCTTTCCTTTCTATCCACACAACACTCCATGGGCACAGTGTGTCTTGTTCTGTCTCTATTTCTGTACCTGTCTTTTTCTTTTGCAGACAATAGGTGCTCTGCTAACTGAGGAAATGACTTATTTAACTCCTCATCCACTCCCGACCTTTCAGAGAATATGCTCTGAGTTCATATTTGTTGAATTTAACCTTATCTTCAAAGCTGAATAATTCCCAACTGAAGAAAATGCTGACTTTTATAAAGCTACATTTACATAAGAAATATAGTATCTACCTTTAATAAAATTATTTTAAATTTTATAAACATTCATTTCCACGTTTATGGTAGCCAAATTAAAGTACATGTGCAGAGAGATATTAACTACAGCAAAATTTATATTTAAAATTGTTGAATACTAAGAAGAAACAAATCCCCATTAGGATTGTATCTTCTGTTATTGTACTAAATTAAAAAGGAATACTACAGAAATGACTTAAGACAAGTAATAGAAAGGTTGTAAACTTGAAGTATTCAAAATTGCTCTAAAAAACAAATGTTCCAAAACAATTAGTATTTGTGCAAGAAATTTACCAAAGAAATTTACCAAAGAGCCAGAGACCTCATCATCTAATTTCTTTCTAGAACTGTTAATTAACATTGTTCCCAGAACTCTGCTAACCTCCCCCGCTGAAAGGAAGAAAGTAAATACAGTGCTGTGGGTAAAACTGGTTCATTTCCAGACACTGTGAGAGGCTGCGCTTTTGTGAAACAGAAAATACTTGCTAAGGAACTATTCCTAAACTATTAGCAACTACATAAAAGCTTTTTATCTAACAGCATCCTCCTGGGAGACTGCGCTGGAATGTGCAGCAGGTCTGAAAAAGGCACAGATTTGGCTCAACTGTAAATATTAAGTGCACAGAAGCGAAGCCATTGTGTGGGGTAGGGGGGTGGGGGTGGGGTCCTGATTCCCAATGTTGATAGAAGGATTCTAATTTCGCCTGGTATTTATTTTTTCTACTACAATTACAGTTTTGCTAAGAAAAATAAAATATCGGTTGTGCTCTCATCTGATTTCTAATTTTCAGCGTCTACAGAAACAGAAAACCTCTCATTCACCTAAAAGAATCACTTTTCTGCAGTCGCCAGAGCCGCCGGGCAAACAGAGGAGCGCCCAGCCCCGCCGCCCCCACCGCAGCCCCCTCGTCCCTGGGCGCCCCCGAAACAGTGGGTCCCCGCGGCACGCTCGCGTCCGCTGACGTCTCGGAGCGCGGTGGGGGGATGCTCCAAACCAGTAAACCACAACACAGAACCCAAGCTTGGACTTTGAACCAAGCAAGCCCTTTTGCCCACTTTTCTTTGTCCTCGTCTCGCTGGGATCCTCGCCCCCTCCAGCCCCGGTCACGGCCTCTCCCGGACTCGGGGTGCGCTCCAGCCACCTGCGCGCGTGCAGGACTGAGCGCAGTGAGCGGGGGCTGGCAGGAGCTCGGTCCACCGGCCGCCCGGGGAGAGCCCGAGACTACGACTCCCGGCATGCCCCGCAGCCAGCTCCCTCCCCTCCGCCCCCCCCCGCGGCCGGCGGCCGGGAGGCTCCGGGCTTTTATCTGCGGACCCGGCGGCAGGGAGCCCGGTCCCCGCGGTCCTCCCACCGGAGCGCTCTGCCCCGCGGCGGCGGCGGCTTGTAGCCCAGTGTTGCGTCCGCGCCCGCGCCAGCCCGGAGCCCCACGGAGGCACACGGTCCGGCCGGCGGGAGGATGGTCATCCGCGTGTTCATCGCCTCCTCCTCGGGTTTCGTGGCGGTGAGCACTGCGGGGACCGCCGGCGGGCCGGGGGCGCGTCTGCGGGTGGGGGCGCGGTGCGGTCCTGCGGGGGCGCGCGGCGCTCGGCTCTGCGCGTCCCGGCGGCGGCGCGTCCGGCCGCGGGAGCCAGCGCCCGCAGGTGATCCATCACCCCGGGACAACAATGAACAGGGCGGGCAGCAGAGGTGGGTGGGGGACCCGGGCTCCCCCGTTCGCCCACCCTCGCGGCCTGAGAGGGGCACGGCGCGGCGGGAAAATGGAGTCCGCGCGAAGCCCCCCGCTCCAGTTGGGTGGCTCAGGAATTTAGGGAAGGGGTGGTCCGAGGGTTTCGGGGGTCCCGCTCCCCTTGGCGTTAGTTCTTCTCGATTTGGGACGTTCAGCTTGGTTATGTTTTGTACGGGAGCTCTTTCAGCTGCTTGGTTTGCTAACCTAGCTCTTGAATGAAACAAGTTGAAGTGGGAATTGCTCTCCACTCTCCGTTCCCCGCCACCAAGTGTATTTCTTTAGTTTTGTACCTGCGCAAAGAGAACAGTATACCAGGTTTGTCCTGTCGTGCAGCGTTTTTTGTTTGTTTTGTCATCTTTTTGCCTGGGGTGCTATAAATGTTTTTATGTTTTCATGTAAGTGGGTGTGTTGGGTTTCTTTCCCCTTGTAATGCTGTGGTCATTTTCTTCTTGGGGATGTATAAATTGTGGTCTAATTATGTTAATCTGTTTTGTCTGGTCGATATTCCTGAAATTTTTTTTTTAGGAGGAAGAGAAGTTAAATAGCTAGATGTCAGACGCTAAGAAAAAATTCAGTAGTACACTTGATAGCCCACTAAGATAACGTAGCAATATGTTTTACATGATTATTAAGATTTGGTTTCCTTAGCTAAGTTAAATTATAGATTTAAGAGGCTCTTTCATGACATAGATAATCAAATACATCAAAAAGTGCAATATCGGTTGCTTAAAATTTGGTCTTGCCAGTTTTCTGTCCAGCACCTCAACCAGATTGTCCCAAAATTTGTTTCTGAAGCAGGTGGAATGGAAGATGGAATAAAATATTGTTTGCAAATTCTTATAAACCTTTGAGGCTTTTTATTTAAAAAGAAATTATAGTATAAAAAAGACTCCCTTTTGCATTAAAACGATAGATGGGAAACTCCAGCTTATCTTTATTTGCAGGCTGCACTGGTCCCCAGACCCCTGATAGTTCGGGGTTTCTACGTATTTGTGGTTGCTTAGTCATACCTGCCTTTTGTAGATTTCTCCCCGGAGCTACACTTCATGTGTGTGGAAACCCTCCTGTTTCGTAGGCAGAGTTTTTCAAATGCGCTCCTTCATAGGAATGCTGCACAGCGTTTGGTTTCACCACCAACCTGCATGCGTCGGTAATTGTTCCAATAGCATGCTGTTGATTGGGGAGAGGATGCTTTATAGTATTAAGAAGCCTAGGCTATGTTGGACAAGTCAAAGTGAAAACTTAAGGTAGTTACTTGGCTTATCCTGTCAGGAGGTAGTAATAGCAAGATAGTTCTGGAACCCTGCATCTCTGTTTCCTCAATTCCATTAACAAATATTTATTGCCTGCCTGCTGTGTGCCTTTTTAATTTTTAAATTTCATACTGTGTGTTTTGCACATGAAGCTGGACTTAAGAGACCTAAGTTTTAATGCGGCCTGTGGCTGGTGGTGTAAGCTTAGATAAGGTGCTCCCTCTCTGCTGAGTTTCTCTCCTGTAGAATGAAGGGTTGTGATGAATAACTGAGAAGCGCACTCTGCTTTAAAATGCTTTCCCTTCATCAGCTGGGGAAATGTGGGTAAATCCTCATAATAGCTTCTTTCACTTTAACAGTATACATATGAGCCTCAGAGTGAATTTTTTCTTTTCCTTCTGTGTTTTACTGTGATGTCTCAGGTCCCCCCACTGCCCCACTTGGTAGCATGTGTTCTGACGTGATTTGATTTAAGCTGGAAGACATGCTTTGTTATGACATACCGTCCAGCCCATAAGCATTAATTATCTATTTTAATGGACCCAATCTTTTCAGTCTCAGACAGTCTCTAGCCACTGAGTCTCTCCAGTTGTAGTATTATCTCCTTTACCAGTACACAGTTTTTCTGTAATTATGTAACATCGATACTTTTGGAGATGTTAAGTTTATGCTTATAATGCAAGTATAATGATTTCTGGGAGATAACGAAGTTGTTTAGATCAGCTCTTTGGCTGGGGAGGCTAATGGGCCTTATAATATAATATAGCATTAAGCTATATTAAGCTTTGGTGGCGGGGCCACAGTGTCTTCCCTCCAGCAGTGTTGCATTGACCGTTGGTGCTGTTTTATTCGGTGACCAACCATGACCAGCAAGTGCGTGGGAGAACAAATAATTTGATTCCCAAGTTGGTTTGGTTTTAGCTTAAGTTGATTAAACCACAAGGAAGAAATGTGACTAGAATTAGACTTAGCTAAGTAAGTCCCAGAAATTTCCAAAAAGATGCCCTGCCCCAATCAGCAGTAAAATTACACAATCCATTTAGAGAAAATCTTCATATCTTGTTCTGACTTCCCTGAACTCTCCAGCTTCAGCAGGTAACAGTGGTAGTTGGACTGGTTCACACCAAGGGGTGATTATTGCCCTCTTATCCTCCCCAGATCCAGCGCAAATCTGCTTTTACTGGGAAATAAAAGTGATGCCACATTATTATGCTACGGATACCTGAAAATCAGATTTCTTATGCAGCTGATAATGATGCTGTAGTGAAGGACATTTTAGTTCAGTCCTAAGAAAATAATATCTTCATAGAAGTATCATTTTAAAATTTAATTTATTCTGGTTGTGTACCCAAAAGAGGAGGTCTTGGTAACTTTATTCGGGAAATATATTAATATGACTTATTAATTTAAAAACATTGAAATCAGTTATTTCATTCATGCATTGTTTTATTCATTCATCAAGTATCTTGTAAGGGTCTGCTACTTGCTCGGCTCTGTCCTTGGTCTTGGGGGAACTGGAGGAGAACCGAGGGTGTGGTCTCTGTCCTCAAGGAATTCAGGTGGGGAGATAAGATAGGAAAGGTAAACCACCTGTGATAAAGTACAGCCCAAGGACACATGCCTCTTTCAGCAACATTCTTACCAGAGATAGAAATAATATAGGCAGCAGAGGGATGCATTGCAGGGTGTCAGATAAGGAGGAAAGGTGCCAGAAATCATCAAATATGCATGTGGGGGCCTTAGGCAGATGGCAAGGAGAGGAATTGAGTTAGATTTGGAACCTGAGAGAGAGTACACGCGCCCACCTTGTTCAGGCTGGAAAGGGAGGGTCAGGTGGCGGAGGTCCCTATGGACCTCTTTTGGGGACAGAGTAGACACTAAGTCCCTGAAAGGAACCCACGATGACGAACTCCATAGTGCTCAGCATCTCAGAGATGTCCTCAGTATCTGCAACTTGCATGCTATCTGGAGCCTTTTGTCCCCAGGAACAAGGTGCTCTCTGGCAGGGAGAGAGCCCTGGTATGTGATTTTAGAAAAATCTTTACCCCCGTTTGCTTTGACTAAAATTTCTCAAAAAGGAAATAAAGTCTTTCATTCTCTGTTAAAGTTCCTGGGCTCAGTTGTTAGAGCTGGAAGAAAACCTGAGGAGGTTTTCTGGTGACGTCCAACCACCTAATTTCACAGGGAAGGAAATTTGGGCGTAGAGATTAAGTGGTGTGCCGTGAGAGCATTTATGGCAGTCTGCAGAGCTGAGGGCTAAATGGAAGCCAGGCCTCCTGACTCCTGAATGTATTCATTCATACATTCATTTAGCAATGCGTTCATTCATGGCTTAATTCACCCTGGCACTCATCAAACAGTCATTGCAGGCCTGCTAAGTACCAGGCTCTTTGTTATGTGCTGTTAGGTGCTAGGTTTATGTGATGGTCAGAACAGACTTAGACTCTGGCCTCATGGCGCAAATCAGTGCTCTCTACAGCCCGAAGACTTGGGATGCACACCATTTAATCGAGGACGATGAAGGACTGATGCTGGCTCGGGGGATGTTTCCCTGGGGCAGGGTGAAATGAGCTAGCAGTGTATCCCTGGATGTTGGAGAGGGACCTTCACTGGGAGCAAAAGATACAAAGACGTTGGGAAACCTGGAGCTTTGCCCAGGGCTGCAACTATGTTTTCAAGTGGGGGTGGGGGTGGCAGGGGAACACACAGAAACTTTGCTCCGAGTTGTCTCGCTCTTTGCTGCTGTAGGAGGCATATCCTACTGCTTTGCGTGACTTATAGCTATTTTAAATATGCGATGATTAGTTAAGTAGTTGCATCTCCACAGAGTATATTCAGTGAAGCTTCGCTGTGTAAGATGCCTCTGAAAAGAGTTCCAAGGCAAAGTCAGGATGTGACCAGGTAGAACCACCTGAGCATAATTCCTAAGTGATTCTAATGCCAGAATGAACTAGTGAGGGTAAGCCTGGGCTCATTAGAATCCTTAACTCATTGAATTTTCAGAATCATTTGGCAAGGTAGTTATTTATTTCCATTTTACAGATGAAGATGCTGAAGTTAACTGACTTGGTTGAGATCATACATGGTAGATGGTGGGACCCTGAGTCAAACTCTGGTGGGGTGGCTCCAAAGCTTCTAGAGCAGAAGTTCTCCACTGTGGGCACTGTCGCACTCTTGGGGGAATGAGAGTACTAGGGAAGCTCGACGTCCTGCAGTGTGTCAGACAGTCCCCCATAAGAACTGCCCCCTCCAAAATACCAGTGGTACCCCTGACAAGAAACAGTGCCGAAGGGCGTTGGCAGGGGAGGTGTGGAGTGAGGTTAGGGAAGAGGTGGGAGCGTACAAGCAGTGATCGGGAGAAGCAAGAATAAGTTGGGGGTGCAAGGACAAGGATGTGGTTGTGAGGGAAGGTCAGGCGAGGAAGGCGTATGTATTCTTTTCCTAGGGCTGCCATTAACAAAGTACCAAATACTGGGGGGCTTAAACCACAGAAATTTGTCTCACAGTTCTGGAAGCTGGAAG